CCTGGAGAGAAGGCGGCCCTGGCCCGCTGCCTCCGAGCGTGGGAGCCTCGCTCGGGGCCTCCGGGACGAGACCCGGGATCTGGGAGCAAAGGCAGACCAGAACATCGGCACAGTCTTCCCTCGCCGACACTCCCGATCCACTCCAAAAAAGAATTCGCGGGCTTCGGTCGCGAGCTGCGCCAAAGCTTGTTGTTACATCGGTCCACCTGTCTCATGAGTTGCACCAACTCAGAGAGGCATTGCCACGTCTTTCTGTGCTGGCTGGCCGAGAGCGCGCACACGGCATCGGCAGACCACAACAGCTCAATCTGTCGGATGACAAGCTGGCGCATCCTGGCATTGTGCCTGGCCCAAGCGAGAGCAGTGGACCAGGCCTGAGCGCGCGGGCCTTTGTAAGTCCTGCGCTTGGGTGCTGCCAGACCAGCTTGCGCCACTGGACCTCTTGAGGCCTTAACCTGGGGTCCGACAAGGAGGCCGAGGAGGAGGAGGAGGAGGAAAAGAGGAGGGAACAGAGGAAGAGGAGGAGGAGGAGGAGGAGGAGGAGGAAGGAGGAAGGAGGAGGAGGAGGAGGAGGAGGAGGAGGAGCATGACCCCCTCGGGCGACGAGCTCGCGCTCCACCCATCAGGCACTAAGTCCCAGAACGCAGTGAGGGAGGTCAAGTCACCAACACTGCCTGCCAGGGAAAAACTGGCGGGCGCGCACAGCCGATTGGAGGAGCGGCAGGGAACGTCTTGGGCTCGTTGGGCACCCTGGCCGACATTGGCGCAGGCTCAGCAGGGAAGTGCAGCGCCACGGGAAAGTGAGGGGAGGTGGAGGCATCCTCAGCAACAACGGGGAGGGAGGGCATCCGTTTGGCCAGCGACCGACTGCAGACCGAAACATCAATGTGGGACCTTGGGGCCGTCTGCCGGCACGAGCACGCTTTGGCAACCCAAGAAACCTTTCCGATTCACCCTGACTGGTTCAACGCTTCGAGCTCCATGTCCCAATCGGCTCCGACGACCCATGGAGCCTGCAGCCCGTTCAAGATGGCGAGATATTCTGAAATCCTCCGGAGAACTGCGTGGTCAGTCTGACCCAGCCCTTTCTTGCAAGGTATGCAGACAAGAAAACAAGTCCTCCGGGCAAGCGGGAGCGCACGTGCTCTGAAGCAAGCCTGCCCGAGAAGACAAGGTCGGGCCCGTCCGCTCCCGGCGGGGCGGCGATGGTGACACTGGAGCGCACGGAGATCGCAGCTCCGCCAGACGTGCCAAGGCCGCCCTCGCCGGTGCCCACCGTGCCGGCCAGCGTCGAGCACCTGACCCCGGCGTTCACCCAGAGCCTGCCGCGTGACGTGGTGACCCTGCGCCGGCACGGCCTGCGCCTACGCCGTGATAGGAAAGTCACGGAGCGGGCCAAGCGAGCTGGGGTTGAGCGTGACAAGCGATGAGCCCTTGGCACGCGAACGCGTGGCCGCCGCCGTCGCCGAAGTCTTCGTCGAGAGCGCCATCGAAGTGCAGGGCGTCACCGCAGCACCTGTGGGGACCGCGGCAAGCCGATCCAGGCTGCCCGTCCCCCCCAAGGGGCCCTTGGCGAGGGCCTGCTGGAGCAACGCTCGCGCTGTAAACCGATGCCCTGGGAGCCAGCCGCTCTCAATGTCGCCCATAGGCAGCCCGCCGGAGATACGCCCACCCAAAGGCCCACCCCCCAAGCTGTCAGCACCGTGACCATCAGAGTGATGCGTGGGAGTAGAGGGTAGGTGTTCTGTCTGAACAGCAGCACGGCCACTGTCTTGGTGCACTGAGACATCGCGGGCGATGGCAGCCCCAGCATCTGACGCAACGCTGGAAACAATGCTGGAAATAAGGCTGGAAGTAGAGCCACCAAATCCAACCAATCCGCTGTCGACGCAAGCAACACCAGGAGGGACAGGAGGACAGGAGCTGGAAAGACTGCTGGAAAGACAGCTGGACCCTGAGCCACCCAATCCACCCAATCTTCTGTCAGCACAAGCGCCTCCAGGAAGGCCCGGAGGGACGGGGCCCGGTGCACCGCTGGAAATACCGCTGGAAGTAACGCCACCCAACCCACCCAAACCACTGTCAGCACGAACGACTCCAGCGGGAACAGGAAGATAAGGTGTCATTCAAGAGCCAAGCTGGCTCAGGCATGCCTCGTCCGTGTGGGACATCATCATCTCACGACTCATGAAAGCAATCAGCACCAGTGACCTACGCCACCGCGCTCCCTGCATTGAGCTTCTTACAGACCGGTGCTGCTGAGAGGAGATGCCGCTTGAGTTTATCACGGAGCTCATGTTCAGGATTGTCGTCTCCGTTGCCGGTTGGGACGTCGATGCCGCAAGCTTTGAGGCGCTCGCGACAGGTCGCCGCAGCCATGCCGTCGATGTACTGGTCCTGCGCCCCCTCGTCAACATGCATCGCGGAGCCTGCCGATGGGCTCAGCGGTCCTGGAAGTCCAGGAGTGGGCAGGCCGTCACAAGCAGCCGAACTGGATTCACGCTCCTGCTGCTTGGCCTGCTCGACCGCAGACGGCTCAACCTTTGCCACCGGAGCCGCAATACCTGCGAGGTCGGACGCGAACTTGTGAGATCCACCAAGGGCTCTGATGATGGCGTCGATCTGTGAAACCGTGGCCTCGAGCCCTGGCAAGATGGTGGAGAGCGCTGGCATGCCATCAGGGGACTCGTAAAAAGTAGCTGGAGCCGCCACTGTGCGCAACCTCTCTTCAAGATCGATGATGTGTGCAGCCGCTGCTGCTTCGGTCACCTCGGCAGCCTTGACTGCCTGAGTAGCCTCAGCCAGAGCCTCCGTAGCAGCCTCCAGCCTGGCCGTGCCACCGTTCTTCGTAGCTTTGGCAGCCGTGATCTGGCTAGAAAGTCTCTGCAGACTTGCCTTGATGGGAAGCTCCGCCTCCAAGTTTGCTGCCAAGTGATCGCGCTCTGCCAATATCTTTGCTTGAACCCCTATCACTGGAGCCAAGCACCTTGACAAATTTGGTGATCTCTTGAATGCGGCTCCGCCTGACTGCCACCGTGTCTGAGGGCTGAGGCATTGCCCAAGGGGGACTGGCAGCAGCGCCTGGCTTCTCGCTGTCACTGCCGCCTTGCATCTCCCGCATCTGCGCACGCAGCTCAGGGAGCTGTTCCTCCATGGTGGTCTCCCGCTGGAAAGACATCTGAGCGGAACGCTCTGCAGGAGTTCTTGGCGGCGGAGCTCCTCTGAACGCAGCTCCCCCATGGCAGGGCCACACCGCGAGCGCCACGTGTGATCTGCCTCAGTGGTCCAGCCTGTGCCCAGACTGGGCGTGCCTGAACCACTTGCAGCACCATGGCTCGGCGGCTGCAGGCCGCTGCGTCTTCAACTCGAGCCCAAGCGGCGACCTCATCACCATCGTCATCACCATCATCACCATCAGCATCACCATCATTATCAGCAGCAGCATCATCATCGCCATCAGCATCATCATAATCAGCATCAGCATCATCATCACCATCATCAGAAGCATCAGCATCACCGTCATCAGCATCAGCAGCATCACCATCAGCATCATCAGTATCGTCATCATTAGCATCATCAGCATCAGCAGCATCATCACCAGCAGCATCATCAGCATAGAGATAGAGAAAGAGAGAGAGAGAGAGAGAGAAAAAAAAAAAAAAAAAAAAAAAAGCAAAAAAGAGAGAGAGAGACCCGGGCGAGGCAACGCAGGATCGCCGCCAGGGAGATAGAGAGAGAGAGAGAGAGAAAGAGAGAGAGAGAGAGAGAGGCCGCGCGGCGCAGACCGGACGGGGAACGAGGAGCCAGACGGGCCTGTCCTGCCTGCCGCGGGCCAGCGGTCTGTGTGGCTGGTTTCGCCAGAAGCCGGAGCCTTGCGCCAAGGTTGGTTGCGGAGGAGAGGGCGAGGGGAGGAGAGGGGGAGGGGCATGGGGAGGGAGGGAGGGGGGGGGGAGGGGAAGGGGCAGGGGAAGGCGGGAAAGGGGGGGAGGAGGAGGAGGAGGAAGAGGAGGAGGGAGGAGGAGGAGGAGGAGGAGGAGGAGGAGGAGGAGAGGAGGAGGAGGAGGAGGAGGAGGGGAGAGGGGGAAATGGGAAGGGCTGGGAGGAGGGCGGGAGGGAGGAGGAGGCGGGAGGGGGGAGGATGGGGAGAGGGGGAAGGGGGGTAACCAGGGCTTGGGGGCTGGGGTTTGAGGGTCATTATTTGTATCTCTTTGGATACGCTGAAAGCCTCCAGAGGCCCCTGGGACCTCCAGAAAACCCTGGAGAACTCCGGGGGCCAAAAGAAGGGTTGGGGAGGAAGGAGGAAGTTAAGATGGTCAGCGGAGCCTTTCGGGGATTCGGTACCCCAGCTGGGGAGGAGCACCAGGAGGAGGACACGGAGAATGAGGAGCGGGAGGAGAGGGAGAAGGGGGAGGAGTAGGAGAAGGAGCAGGAGGAGGAGAAGGAGGAGGAGGAGGAGGAGGAGAAACAGGAGCAGGGAGCAGGGAGCAGGGAGCAGGGAGCCACGAGCAGGAGGAGGAGCAGGGAGCAAGGCAGATGGGGAGCTGTATTCGCATGTCTTCCTGGTATACAGGTTGTCGACGGCTTCCAGATGCTTCCAACTGGCATCTTTGGTTTTGGGAAAGTGAACCATGCCGTGCGTTTTTGTCTGTCAGTGAAGGCGTCTCTGAGTGAACCAGCTCGTGTAGCTCGTGCACGTAGCCGAGAGCAGGCTGATTAGACGATGGACTAACAGACGCGTTGCTCCAGGCCACGTCCGAAGGGGGGATGAGGGAGCAGAGCAGGAAGAGCAGAAGGGAGAGGAATGCAGCAGGGGAAGGAGAAGACAAAGAGGATGAGGAAGAGAAAGCAAGAGAGAGAGAGAGAGAGAGAAAGAGGGAGAGACGAAAAACATTGCACAGCAAAGCAAGCACAACCAACACAATGAGGTGGGACTATCCGACAAGAAGAGGAGCGCAGCAGGATGGCGAGCAGGCGCAAGCGGAGGAGGAGAAGGAAGCCAGGTCAACCCCGAGAAAGAGTTGCTGGCCGAGTTTGCGGCGAGCCTAGCCAGCCAAGTGTGCCTGGGCCTACGTAGGCTGAGCGACCTGGCGCCCTGCTTTACTTCTGGCTCCGGGGGCGCGGGGGCTGGCCTCAGCAAGCTACTCCTTAAGTCACTGCTTGTCCTCTCCCTCCCCTCACCCTGTGTGTTTACCCTTCGTAGTCGGCGCATTTCACGTTTGAGCGGAATCCCCGCTGGGTTTAGAGAGGTCCCTGGTCCGTCTTACTTTCCCCACCCCTCTCTTTCCAGTCCTCCATCCAAGGAGTGAGTGGATCGACGATCCGCCGCCCGCAGCATTCTTGGTTGTGCAGGTGTGTGTGTGTGTGTGGATAAAGCGCGCGCGTTTCCGCGGGCTGATGCCTCTGGTCTCTCTTTTGTGTTTCTCTCTCTCTCTCTCTCGCTCGCTCTCTCTCTCTCTCTCCTTTTGTTTGTCTTTCTCTCTCTCTCTCTCTATGTATCCCTTTATCTTTTTATTCAGCCGATTGCATACGGATAAGTATGACTGTTTAAGCTTTGGCCGTGTTCTGGTTCCTCGTCGCCACGGCTGGACCCAAGATCGATCTGGTTGGTTCGTGGCCGCCTTCAACGGCAAGTCAAGGCCACATCCCGCGGGCTTAGTTGCGGCCCGGAAGCTGACACAACCCCAACCTCAGGTTATCAGCCGAGGCAGTGTTCCTTGCTGCATAGTGTGGAAGCTTCGGGCACGCTACGGGGCCGTCATACGAGTAGGGTTAAGTCGGGCCTGTCCCCTTACAGGAGGAATATTCAAAAATAGTCCGAAAATAGTATTGGGACGATGTTTTGACTATTTTTGAATATTTGGGAGTATTCTTTGACTATGTTTCATTCTTCGTCCAAAATCGGCCTGTCGGAGGACACGCGCGACCTGAGAGTAGGGAAGAGTAGGGAAGGGAAGTGACCTAAAACCTTCGTGAAACCTTCCTCTGGGTTTTCTTTTGAAAGAGCTGGCCCAAAAACCGTCCTAAAACCTTCCTCAGGAAAGCTTTTTGGAAGAGCCTGCCTGATAACCTTCCTAGAAACCATCCTCAGGAGGGTTTTTGTTGGAAGAACCTTCCTAAAAACCTTCCCAGGGGTGGCCTCGTGGGCATCCTGGGCCGATCTCAGGCCGTCTGGGGGGGGAGGGGGAGGAGGAGGAGGAGGAGGAGGAGGAGGAGGAGGAGGAGGAGGAGGAGGAGGAGGAGGAGGAGGAGGAGGCGGAGGAGAGGAGGAGGAGGAGGAGGAGGAGGAGGAGGAGGAGGAGGAGGAGGAGAGGAGGAGGAGGGGAGGAGGAGGAGGAGGAGGAGGAGGAGGAGGAGGAGGGAGGGAGGAGGAGGAGAAGAAGGAGGCGGAGGCGGAGGCGGAGGCGGAGGCGGACGCGGAGGCGGAGGCGGACGAGGAGGAGGAGGAGGAGGAGGCGAACGAGGCGGACGAGGACGAAGACGAGGACGAGGAAGAGGAAGAGGGAAGGGGGGTGGCCTCATGGGCGTCCTGGGCCGATCTCGGGCCGCCTTGGGGCCGGAGGGGTAGGGGGGCCCGAAACCCGTGGCCCCGCCGGGGCGCCGCCCAGGGAGGCGTCGAAGGCAGCCTCGAGGCCAGCCCGACGTCATCTTCAGCCTGAAGTGGTGGCAAGGCACTCTTTTTGACCGTTTTGGAGTATTTTAGGGGGTATGTTTTATTTGTCGTCCAGAATTCCCCCTGTAGGGGGGACCTGCCCGACCTAAGATCCTGGTCCGATCGCGGGCCGCCTTGGGGTCGGAGGGGTGGGGGGGCCGGACCGTGGCCCCGCTGGGGCGCCTCGCCAGGGAGGCGTCGAAGGCAGTCTCGAGGCCAGCCCGACGCCATCTTCAGCCTGACGCGGTGGCCACGCGCCAGAGGGGGGGGGGGGAGGGGGGGGGAGGGCTGCTGAGAGGCACCCTTTGCATCTCAGAAGGCGCGGGCCTTCTCCATAGGTGTAAGGCCAGCGCCTTCTGAGAAGCAGCCTCCTTCTGAGAATCCCTCCCCCCTCCCTCCACCCCCTTGTGCGCGCCGCCAAGGCAAAGCGCAAAACTTGTTCGTCAGCGGCGAGGCGGCGAAATCCGCTCCAGCGTGAAGCTAGATAGGGGCACTAACTAGCGAATCGGCTGGCGAGCAAAGAGGGAGGGGGGACGGCCGAGAGGAAGGAGGGACGCTCAGACGCCGAAGAATTCGACGATGAGCAGCCGGGCGGGCAGCAACAGCCGGGCGCGCAGGGCCAGAGCGCGGTGGGCGACCGTGGCGAACCACGGTGGCAAGTGTGGTGGGGAGTGACTGCCGAGCAAGGCACAAAACATTTAGACTTGGTAATTTTCGCAATCGCGCGTTTTTGCCACGTTTTCCGCTCCGGGCTCCCGCGACCCCGCAATGTGTCGAGCAGCTCGACTGCCTGCTCGTGGCGCCCTCCTTCAGGTTCGGCCTCTCCGGCGCCTCCTCTCTCTCTCTCTCTCTCTTTCTTGTTGGAGGCCTCAGATGGATGTTAGAGTTCTTGAGGCAGTAGGTCGCGAGGGCGCTTGCATGAATCATTGGCAGCATCGGCGGAGTTATGACGCCATCCAAAGACAGCCGCAGGCCCTCATTCCCCATCTTTGGAGAGTCTATGGGGTCGTGGGTCGTCCCCTTGCCGTTTGAATATGTCCGAGAGGGTCTCTGGATGTTTCCGAATCTTATCGTTGAGATTGAGTGTTCAGAATGAGACGACAGTAGATTGGAGTCCGTTTCGTGAGGGAGGGCATTTGTTGTGTCAAAAGGACCGACACGAGGTTACAAACCTCACGGTGTTGACGCACACCCAACACGCTAGAAACGCGGCGGTATATACATGTGCATAGACCGTCATAGAAATCGAACAATCAAGGTGATTCAAGTCAAGAAACCAAACACACCGCATGGCGAAATATGCGCGAACCGCTCACGAATGACGCGCAGGGCGTTTGGCAAAACACGTGCGGAAGAGGCGAGTCATAGGCAGCAGGCGAAGTATTGTGGAAATAGTGAAACACGGAGGAGGCGAGAGAGATGAGGAAGAGGAGGAGGAAGTTGAGGAGGACGGTGTGCCATGAATGCGGCAGTGTTCACACCAGAAGTTCTGTATCGACAGTGCGTGGACCGCACATGCCTGTATAATACGCACCGCTTTCCCGCACGTGCGAGTGGTCGTGGTTTCACATGTATGCTGAGATTCGCGCCCGAATGTGTGCACACTTGTCTGAGGCCGAGCACCCCTCAATCCCCACCAGAATCAAGCACATTCGGCATGCGAGCCAGCGCGCGGTGCATGACTGCACGGTTGCGTGTGCGCGCCCGTGCTGCTGTCGTGCACGTGAGTTGGCGCACCCGTGCGTTCGTTGACACGTATGCGCGCCTGTTCGGCTGAGCCTCACCCAGGGGGGTCGACGTGTGGTTCAAAGAAATGGTCGGCAGAAGGTTTTCGGAGGTGCAGGGTACAGTTGCCGCGGCCGTGGTGCGCTAAGGTGGAGAGGAGTTTGCCCATCTTGTTGAAGAAGGAGCCCGCGAGTTGGGCACGAAAGCTCTGCCCCGGCAGCCTCATCCACACTGTTGTCTCTTTTGTGTCCTGCGCCGGTCGGTAGCGCAGTCTGTAGTACAGTATGGTGTGTCTTTCTGTCTCCGGCAGCCAGTAGTGCAGTCGGCGGTCAGGCAGTGCACTCAGCAGGCGCTGGGCTTCGGCCTGCCTCTCGAAGGCTCGCGGCAACGGCTGGTCCACCAGATTCGAGCTCTTTTCCAGGCGTGTACCGCAGCAGAGTTTCTGTCGGCCGACGCGAGGTTCGGGCGACGGATTGGTAACGCCTCAGAAGGGCATGACCCAGCAGGGTCGGTTTTGCAGCCGCCTCTGCTTGGTAGACCTCGCCCTCGACGGAGCCGACGCGCATAGGGGCAGGTCGACCCTCTGCAGGCCAGGGGGTGTTGCAGAATTGGAGGCTGCGCTTGGCGAGCCCTTGACCTTCATGTCCGCTGCAACGGAGCTTCGTGGGTCTCAGGAGCTCTTCCAATGCGGAGCAACGATGAAGGTAACCGAAGCAAATAAGAAGGAGTACATCAATTTACTGTGTGAATGCAATATGTTTGGAGACATGCGCCAGCAATTAAATGTGTTCTTGAAGGATTTCTGGGATGTTTACCCCACGCAAGCATTAGAGCTTGCACACCTGAGTCACCAGGAACTCTCTCTTCTGATCTCCAGATTTTCAACCATCGATGTGACTGATTGGCGTCAGGCGTCATCATACAAGCCACCCGTGTCCTGACGAGCACACCATAGTTATAGAGTGGTTTTGGGAAGTGGTGGACGGGTTATCCAGTGAAGATCGCGCGAAGTTGTTGCACTTCATTACAGGCTCATCTCGACTGCCACCGCCTGCTTTCGCAGGGTTCTCTCCTCAGATCAGTATTTCTGCGTCTGGCGATACCCAGCACTTGCCGTTAGCACACACTTGTGCCAACAAGTTCGCTCTTCCGCCGTGCGGTTCGAAGGAGGCCGTCATAAGAGAAGATCGAGATCGCCTTTCGAACGACCAGGGCTTCGGGCTCATTTGAGTTAGTCTGAGTTAATATGTGATTACGGTCCCGCTTATGATTAAGAAGCCTCCCCCCGAAAAGTTGGCCCAGCGTTTCTTAACCAATGTGCCGGAAAGTTGGCTCAGTTTCTTAAGGGGATTGGCAGCCTTGGGTCCTAGAAATGAATAGTGTACGTTCTTGGCTCCAAAAGTTGGCCCAGCATTTCCTTAAGAAACTTCTGAAAAGTTTGCCCAGTTTTCTGGATTGATAATTTTCCTAAACATATTTTGACTGGATTGCAATTGCCACCTTGCTGATGTTCCTGACTTCTCTCATCGTCCCTCTGTTGATCCTCCTCCGTTGCCTCCGCCGCCCTGTGCGGCATGAAGAGGCGGAGTGTCGTCGTGATCATCTTGATGTATCGGCGGGGCGGCCGCGGGAATAGGCAAGACTTGTGGACGACGATCAATGGAGAGGAAACATGTTGCCAAGTCATTTCCAGATGTTTTAAAATATTCAACCTCTGCTTTCGACATATTCTAAGCATTTAAAAATGATCCAAACAATTCAATTACATCTTTAATTCAATGCTGGGATTGTTAGGGTGCCCATTGTCATGGCATCCACAAGGCAAGACCAACTACGCTGTCTCGGCGCGGTGCGCATCGGCATGCACGCTCTCTGCCCCCAGCAGCAGATCGCCCGCGTGGGGGCGCCCCGGCTGCGCACCAATACGGCACAGCTTAGGCGATAATCATACGGTGGGGGCGTTGGTTAAGGAATGCGCCCAGGATGCTGCAGACCCTGGAGGGGTCCTTATCTGATGAGGGCGGCGGTGATATCCATGTGCGAGCCTCGATTGGAGTTCCACCGGCCTCCAGACCCTGGATTCCTTATCCAATGTTTCCTTGTCCAATGCCCCCACCGTCCGTAGCCATTTTGGCTCAAGTCCGTAGCCGTTTCTGGCACAAGGGCTTGAAGTCACCTGGCGTGGGGGAGGCGCGCCCCCGCCCGCGATCCTGCGGCCAGGTTGGCTGCAGACATACTTGTGTGAGCTCCTGTCGGAGCAGCTCCCGTGAGGAGCACCGTACCCTGCAACGACGTCCAGGATTTGCCTCCTGGTGCTCGCCCCATGGCTCCTGCTCCTGCGGCCGTGCGGCCTCCGTGGTGGAAGCTGCCGACCAAGTTCGTGTCCCCACCCTGGGGAGGTCAACAGAAGCAGCAGTGGCAGGCATGGCGAGACATCGGCTCTGACGACGACCTCGAGGGGTGGCACCAGGTGGGGCAAACTGGAGGAGGGCCGTGGTGCAGTAAGTGCGGCTGCAAGAAGAACTCCAAGGGCAGCAAGTTCTGCAAAGCCTGCGGCCATAAGCTCTCGGACATCAGCCCAGCCGTGGCTGCCGAACCCGCTGGGGTCTGGAGCGAGCAGCGAAGACAGCACGGGGATGCCGATGGCAAGGACGGCAAAGGCGGCAAGAAGGGCAAGAAAGGCAAGGACTCGGGCAAAGGTGACGGCGGCAAAGGTGGAAACCGTGTTGAGGGAGCAGCAGGCGGAGACCCAGCCAAGCTTCCTCGAGCACCTGCCTGGTGCACAGTTCCTGGTGGCCCAGGAGGGCCCCTCGGTGGAGCTTGAGTTCCACGAGCTGGAGCAGCTGGTGGCCACGTTGGAGAAGCTGGGCGACACGGTCAGCCTCGCGAAGCACAGGCGCACCCTTCAAGAACGGCGACGACTCCAGCAGGAGGCGCTCTACGTGCCGCCATTGTCGCAGAGAGTCACGCAGGCCCACAAACAGGTGCAGGACATCGCGCAGAAGCTGGAGAAGGCGGCGTTGCACTTCGAGCGGCTCGAGGAGGGCCTCGAGAGCCAGAGGCGGTGGGTCCAATCTCTCTGCGAGGACATGGAGTCGAAGAAGGCTGAGCACCGCAAACTGGTGGTTGAGCTCAATCGTCAGGTGGTCGACATCAGCCAGGATTCAACTCCGTCAGTGGCACCCATCAGTGTGGCTGGAATCCTGGACGGCTCCATCGAGGAAATTCCTCTTTCGTTTGCTGGCCTTGGGTTCGACGACGAGGAATACGAGATGGATGCAAATGACAAGAAGGAGCTGGCAGATCGCAGCGCCCGCCTCAAGAGCGAGCTGTCCAACGCCGTCAAGCAAATGTCCGGGCAGGCGGCAGAGAAGGCCAAACTCTTCAAGGAGGAGCAGGAAGCCATGGCTCTACGGCTGGCTGGGAAGAGGCGGCGACAGGGCTCAGGCCCCGAAGACCCTGGCTCAGCAGGGGCGGCCGCTGCAGGATCAGCGCCGAGAGGCAAGGACGGCGAGGCAGCGGACTCCGACGCGACGACGCCGTCGCCTCCCTCAGCAGCCAAGCAGTCGCCCAAGGAGGAGGAGTCATCCAGAGACAACTTCGAGCAGAGGGCGGCCAGGATCTGTCGCCCGCCGCCCCCCCAGGCGGACTCTGCCTGAGGGGGCAGACCCAGTGGACGCAGGGGCTGAGGGCGATCGGCGGACGCCCTTGGCCGAGGCAGCTGGATCTCTTCGACCAGCGGACCGTTTCTGGAGCAACAAGTCCGTGGACCTCGACTGGCCTCAAGTCGGGGGGTTTGGGGCCCCTGCCCTGGCCCGCCCAGACAAGGGGACAACGTTGATCGGAAGGCAGTACTACAAGCAGCTGAGCGCAGTGCCCGAGGCAGCCCTGCCCGAGCCCTTGGGGCAGAGGCCTGCGGCTACGGGGCTCCCACCCGATGCTGCAGATCCCGAGTGGCAGGCCATCCAGGACTTCAATGGCATGAGGGCTGACCTCAGGGACTGGGCTGCCGCATGGTTTGACTCTCACACGGAGCTGGAGACAGACAGCGGGCACTGGAGGCGTTGGTGCAAGGCTTTCCTGGGCGCGATGCTCGCGGACGGCGGGAACGAGCCGCTCAGGCGCCTACTGAGGATCTGGTTCCCAGGCTGGCACTTGGACAATATCCTGGACGAGCTGTGCCTCAGTGGCTGGAGACAGTCTGAGCCCCGCCGCATTGCCTTTCTGGTCAGGCTCAACAGTGCCCAGTATTTGGATCGGTGGCGACTCGAGCACGCGCACTGGAGGCAACTGGCGCAGATCAGGGCCACGTTTCGCCGACTCCTTGGGGACAGAGCTCCTGGAGACCCAGTGCCGCCTCAGAGGCCTGGTGGGGGAATGGAGTCGGGCCCTATTCGTCGGCCTGACCCTGATGACGACCAGGCGATGGACCACGTCGACAACCTGACGGCGAAGCTGCTCACGCTGTCGCACGCGACCTCGCAGCAGCCTCCTGGCGGCAGGGCCTGCCCCGGCCAAGCCAACCTGCACGTGGAGCAAGCCAGCCCTGGTTCGACCTGGTCAGCAAAGGGAGCCTCTTCGGTTTCGCGGACTGTTGTATTTGAACGCATCCCTGATGGCGTGAGATCGCAGAGAGGCAGAACGCACGGCGTGGTGGCACGGGGAGGTGTGAGCTTGTTGGACACCGCCCGCGGCTTCATCGGGAGGCGTGGTGGGCGACCACCCCGCGCTACCAGTCTGGCCCAGCCGCCGCCAGATGGACAAACACGCCAGAGCAAGGTAAGACCTGGTCCCGAGTGCTCCTCGAGCTCGGGCCAGACTCAGTCGCCACCCGCTGGATCAAGACCCTCGCCTGTCGAGAGGGTCGTTGGCCTTGCAGACAGTCCAAGCTGGGACTCAAGAAGCTTTCTCAACACCAGTGTCACGGTGGACACCCTGGGCCTCCGATCTGCCCCAGAGCTGCAGAACACCAGGGGGGACGTCTTGCCACAGAGGGAGGGGCCGCTAACGCTCTGCTTGGCCAAGCTGGTGGCGCCGCCGATGGCTAGCCCAGCGTCCTTCATCTCGCTGAATGGCACGACATGGAAGGAGGCGCAGACGGAGCTTGAGCGCCTCTCGGACTCTGGCTTGAAGGACGATGTCTACCTTATCCAGGAGACGCGCTTCACGGGGAAGGAGAAGGAGAGCGAGGCCATCGGGTGGGGCACTCGCAACGGCCTTAACGCTTCATTCAGCCCATGCAGGAGAACGGGAAGCTCGGCCCAATCGGTGTCATCGGGGGTTGGCTGTCTTGTGGCGGCACACAGAGGATCAGCACCCGTGGACCATGACTGGGGTCCTTTTCAGCTCGCGCCTTCTCGCTCGCAGGGTGGTATTCGGGGACTTGATGGTGATCGTGGTCAGTGCCTACCTGGAGCACTCCGCCAAGATGACGGGCACAAGCGTGGAGCTGCTGAGCGAGCTGCAGGTTTTCCTCAAGTCTCAGTGCGAGCCTTTTGTAGTGGCAGCTGACTGGAACATGGAGCCGCAGCTGTTGGAGAGCTCGTGGTGGCCGCGTTCTGTGGGCGGGGCAGTCGTGGCGCCAAAGTTCCCTACCTGCTCAGTGACCTCGGGGAACGATCGAGTATATGACTACTTCGTGATATCGGCCTCCCTTGCGGCTCTTAGCCCAACAGCAGAAGTGCTTCGGCCAACGTCTACTCACCCCCATGCCCCAGTGCGTCTTACTCTCAGCAAGCTGGGGGCCCATGCCAAGGTCTGGGTATTGCGAGGCCCCAAGCGATTCGACCTGTCGACGCACATCTCGGACGAGGACCAGCTGACGGCGGTGGAAGACGCCCAGGACATAGTCTGGCAGGCGGCCCTGCCCGCCCCAGGCGTGGGGCCTGACCAGGCAGTGCGCGAGTTCTTCGACAAAGCGGAGACCTACTGATCGGCATGTTGGGTATCAGTGACGGCCCCAAATACCGTGGCAGAGCGGACGGGCTCAAGCGGGTAGAGATCAGCCTCAAGGACCTCCAGCGTACTGAGACTTCCAGAAAGGTAAGCCCTTTGACGAGGTTGCGGCGTTCTCTCGGCAGGCTGGTCAAGCAACTCAGGGCGGCAGCTTCGGTCGCAGAGCCAGCAAAATGCCATACGCTATACATGAAGCACTTGGAACGGGCGATTTTCTCACTAGCAGTTCAGTTCGACAGCTTGGGCAACCCGATGTTCAACGGCACCAAGATGGAGACGATAGTCCACGAGGTCAGGAGCGGCTCCATGGAAGGGCTGCAGGTGTTGAAGGCCATCGCCAGGGTCACGGACAAGCACGTCAAGGGCGATGCGTCTGCAGCTAGGACCCGCTGGAAGGAGTTCGTGGACGAGTCGCTGGCAGGAGGAGGCCGTGGAGCGCATGCCATTAGCAAGAAGGCCCACGGCGAGGCGAAGCCGATCTTGGCGGACGACAGCGGCGACCCGCCTCCCGTGCCACTGGTGGGCCAAGCGGCATTGGATCAGATGCTAGTGGAATGGAAGGCCTTGTGGAGCTGCGGGGACGGCCAGCAGAATAGGCCTGCTGACTGGATCACCACGTCGGACCTGCCCCCGATCACGGCAGAGCAGGTGATAGCGTCGGCGAAGACGTTCGCGAAGAAGACGGCGCTCGGCTGGGACGGTTTCCACCCCAGGCTGCTGAAGATGCTAGGATGGCCTTTTGCGCAGCGCATGGCGGACGTGCTGACGCAATGGGAAAGGCACCCGCAGCCGACGGCGATGCTCACAACGCTTATCGTCTTCTTGGGCAAGCCTGGGGGAGGACATCGCCCCATCGGCCTGATGTGTTTTGGGCTCAGGGTTTGGGGAAGGATTCGCAGGCAGTGCTGTTTACAATGGGAGCGTGACCACCGCCTTCCTGAGATTTGGGGCAGCAGCTCTGGCACCTGCTGCGATAGAGCAGCGTACTTGCACAACCTGTACCTGGGCCTCGCTCGGAAGGTCGGTTTCGAAGGTGTCTCGGTGCACTTCGACATTAGCAAGTTCCACGAGCGGATTGACCACGGGCTGCTGCTGAACGCGGCCGAGCTGAATGGTTTCTGCACAGGATTGGTACGTGCGCTCTGTGTGGCGTACTCGGGTCCGAGGCGAGCTACGGCAGACAGCGCCGTCAGCAAGGAGATACATGCGAGGGGCACGGTCATGGCTGGCTGCTCGTGTGCAACAACGATGGCCAGACTCATGCTGATGAACCTTCTTGTCAAGAGCCGAGCCAATCTCCCCACCGGGAGGATCGTCAACGTGATTGACGACATCTCGGGCAACGGTATCGGATCCAGAGGTGTGCTAGTCAGCCAGGTGAACAGCTTCGTCCAGGGCGTCGTGGCGATGCTGAGGGACAAGCGGCTCCCGATCAACTGGGGCAAGACGAAGGTGTTGGCATCCTCAGTGGACACCCAGCGCGAACTGATGAAGCAGGAGGGGTGACCGCTGGACAGGGACGCCTTTGCTCATGGACACCGAGATCTCGGTGGCGACGCGACGGCTGGTGGACACCGCATGGTGGCGACGCAGGTCAAGCGGGAGCTGGATGCACTCCGTCAGGCAGCGAGACTGACACGCATCTTCGGACCTGGGCTGCGGCAAGCTCGGGTGATGCGAGCTGGGCCGACCGCCAAGGCGCTCTGGGGCTCGGCCATCTCTGGAGCCCCACCTGGGCGCATGAGGGCTCTGAGGGTGGCCGCGGCGAAGAGCGCGGGTCGCCTGCCGCCTGGAGCGGCCCTCAGCTTTGCCCTGCAGTGTGCGCCCCGAGGCTGGCGGCAGGACCCGCTGGTGGTCGCAGCGGGAATGGCAGCGCAGGCATTCGTCAACGTGGTGTGGTCTGGGCAAGCCTCTGCTGCAGCCATCCAAGCGTGCATCCATGAAAGCCAGCAGGTGCTAAGCAAGCAGCGGCCTTGGAGCTCGGTCCGTCAGCCGATAGCGGCGCGCACGCTCACTCTGCAGAGGATAGGCTGGCAGCTCGCCGTCGACGGCACCAAGCTGCTGGACGAGGGCAAGAGGGAGTTCGAGGTGCTGCGTTTCTCGCCCGCTTTCCTGGCGGAGTGGGCCATAGAGGCCACGAGAAAAGCGGCCGCGCTGGAGGAGGCTCGCGATCGTCCTGGATCGCTCTGGCCATGGAAGATACCGCCACCGTGGAGGCCAGTCAACGAGCTGCTCGGCAAGAAGGAGACGGAGACCTGGACTGGGCACCACAAAGGGTGCCTCCGCTGGCTCGTCTCGCTCTCGCACTGGCCCCAGGACCGTCTTGCGAGGCACTCCTCTGACATCGACCCGATCTGCAAGCTATGCCAGGCTGCACGAGGAACGATGTTCCACAGGCACCACGTTTGCCCAGCTTGGGAACCTTGGCGGCGCGACAGGCTGCCGCCCGACCTGAAGCGTGCAGCTTGGATAGTCCACGAGATGGGCCCGCCGTTCGATGAGCTGTTCTGCCAGGGCCTGTTCGTGGATCCCTCCCAGCTGTTGCACCGCCCGTGCTGGCAGCCTCAATGGGAGCGGCTCTCGCATGGTTGGCAGGAAGCAGTTGTGGTCGAAGACGGCGCAATGGTTTTCACCGACGGCTCCTGTATCCTCGGTGACTTTCCGCGCCTGCGCAGCGCTGGCTGGTCGGTCGTCGCGCTGCCCAAGGAAGGGGCGATCCTTGCTGAGGCGTGGGGAGCTGTTCCCCCTAGTCTATGCCCATCGCAGACAGCACGTGCTGGAGAAGACTACGCAGCGGTGGTGGCGCTCACGGAGGTCAGTGGACGCGGTGCTCAACCTTGGCAGAGCTCAGGGCCCAACTTCGACCTACGCCCATCTTTGGGCCAGAGTTGGGGACGCCGCGGAAGGTGTTGAAGTCAAGCACATTCCTGCACATCGGTCAGAAGCAGCTGTGGCCAGAGGGGAGCTATCGGCTACCGAGCTCTTCGGCAACCGCCTAGCCGACAAGCGAGCGAAGGAAGGAGCCGCCCTCCACGCCCTTCCAGCCGACGACGTCCAGCTCCTGGAGGGCTGCCTAGCCAGGGCTCGCGACGCAGCCCGCTTCGCAGCAGAGATCGAGGTCTTCATCACGGATTCTGGGATGCGTGACTGCTGGCCGACGGAAGCCCTGGACAACGTCAACCTCCAGCCGCACCTCTACCCGTGGAACCTGTCGGGCGAGTACGAGGACTACGTCTTGTTGGACGCCTCCACGGCGCAGCGTGGCAGAGGCTCGGCAGCTGTGTCAGCGGCAGCCTTCGCCGCGGCGGCAGCGACCAGCGCAGCGGCCACAGGCGCTGCGGCAGAAGCCGCGGGCGGCGCAGCTGGGCCTGCTCGAAAGCGCCCAGCGGCTGCGCTGAGGGCCGCCTCCGCCCCAGCCGCCCCCATCGCTGTGGGGCCAGGCGAGGAGGGCAGTCATCGGGCGGAGGCAGCGAGCGAGGTGTTTGCCAGAGAGGTTCGGCGCAGGGCGGTGGCCAGGTCGACAGCAGAGTCCTCTCAGCACACCCAGCTAGAGGAGCAACGCCCGTCACCTGCCCCCACGGCTGGACCAGAGCCATGGGTCGTGCACGGCCACAACATTATGCAGACCAACGTGGTGAGCAAGCCGAGCGAGGCCATCCTGGTGTGCACGCGCTGCTTCATGTACTGCCACCAGCCGCGGTATGCGCACAGGGGCCTGGCCAAGCCGCGCGTCGGTGGCGATCACAGATCGAGCCAAGGGTCGCGTGCTCAGGCCAGGACTGACTTCGGCAGACTGCGTTTGCCAGGCAAGGAGAAGCCGCCGATCGTGATGCTCAAGTCGCCGACGTTGGAGGAGATGCAGCGCTGGCGAAGGTCGCTCAAGGTGGATGACCTCGACTGGCCCAACCCCCAGGTGGGCGAGCTCCTGGCGGCGGCGCGGGCTGGCGGCCCAGGAGGCTCGCCAAGGCCTGCGGCTGCTCAGCCTGCGGCGGGGCGAGCTGCTGGCGCGGCGGGGCCTGCGGGCGGTGCGGCGGCGGCGTCGGCGAGCGCCTCGGCGGCCGTGGGCACGGCGGCGGTGCAGCCCGCGGTGCGCGCGGGCTGGCAGGAGCTCACCGTGCCCGACCTGGAGGGCGTCCTCCGCGCGCACGGCTTCGCGTCGGCGGACGACGCACGCGCCCGTGGGCGAGAGGCAGCCCAGGTGCGCGGGGAGCGTGACCGCGCGCTGGAGAGCGGCGAGGCGGCCCCGCGAGCGGCGAGGAGGCGGGGCCGGCGCTGGTGAGCGCCCCCCTCGGCCGCCGTGGAGCCCTCGGCAGTCCCGCGCCGTTTGCGCGGGCCTGCGGCCCGCTGAGAATTTGTGGCATGACCACGCGGGGGCTCGCGCCCGCTCGAAGAGTAAAAAAAAAAATGTCCCCACCGTAGCATGTTCGAGCCATTGGCCTTCTAAGCAGAGTAGAGTGGTGCCTGGCAGCATGTATAGGCGAATCTGGAGTGACAGACGTCGCGCGAGGAAGAATCGCACAAAGAACAAAACGTGCCCCCATGTCGTCAAACACCCGTTGAAGCTATCGACGCTGTCTCGATGCTTGATATTTCGAGCTGGATCGATCCGTGAAGGCAACCCAAACAGAAGCGACATCAACTGCCATGGGTCCGGGCTGGGCCCCAGGGCGGCGCCACTGGCGCCGCCCCTGGCGCGCTCCGCGCGCAGTGGGAGGCGCCGAGCGCCGACCCAAGCGAGCCGCGCGGACCGCCGAGGGTTCTGCATGCCGCTCGACCTCCTGTTCCAAGCCTGAGGGGTCCTCCGAGGAGGCTCCAAAAGTTTGGCGTGCCGCTTGACCTCATGTTTTGCGTTCCGCTTGACCTCCATGTTGCATGCCGCTTGACCTCATGTTCCACTTTGCTGCATGTTGCTTGACCTCATGCTCCTCCGAGGAGTGGGCCAAGGACCTCATGTTCAAGCCCGAGGGGCAGAGCGACGACCTCGCGCCCGAGTCCGACATGGACGAGGCGGTGCCCGGCATCGAGGACGGCGACGCCGCCGCGGGCACCGTGGAGCTGCACGCTCGAGGAGCGGCCGCAGGACGGCGGGGGTGGCCCTGGCAAAGCTCAAGTCGGGCCTGTCCCTCTGCAGGAGGGATATTCGAAAATAGTTAAAAAATAGTCTGGGGGCGTTTTTCCCGTTATTTTTGACTATTTTGAAGTATTTGTTGTGCATGCCTTGGAAATCCGCCTGTAGCGGGACACGCCCGACTTACGGCAAAGCGTCGGCTGCCGGTGGCCTCTTCGGCGTGTTTTCGTTCCCTTGGGATGCGGCCGGGAACTTTGGGACAGCCTGTCGCTCCACCAGGTTCGGCCCACCACGCTTCTGCGCGACACGCTGTCCACTTCGCGGCCCCCAGGCTTCCGCGTGCCGAGCTTTCCCGAGACCGCCGCCCCACAGAGCGGAGCGACACGTGATCTACTCGCGAGGCACAGCGTGTCGCCGGAGCCGCCGCCGCGACGCACGCTCCAAGAGTTCCTGACCACGAAGAAGAAGGAGGGGGGAGAGAAGGGCACGAGCGAGGACTTGCACTGGCGGCAACACGGGCCGTAGTCAATGGCTACATGAGATGAAAGAGGGAGGTGGGAGTGGGCGTCGACGAGAGGGACGCACCCTCCCCCCCCGGCATCG